TTTAGACTAGACCAAAAAAAATCACAAGATTATGAATGTACTTCATTACAAGATTAAATAATTAAAACATTATAATTGTGTGTATGTATACTTGAGTGCAAGTGCCCAAGGAGATCAGAGGCATTAGAAGTCCTGAAATTGAAGTTACAGGTAGCTATGAGCTACCCAAGATAAGTGCTGAGAATTGAACTCAGGTCCTGTGCAAGAGTAGTACAGGTTCTTAACCTCTGGGAAATACAAGTTTATGTGGGACTGTAACCCAAAATGTAAAAGGCAGGCGTATGGGAGAAATATATTTTCAATAAAAGGTTAATATCTTTATTGTATATGGAAGAACATCATATATGTATTTCACACACTTGATAAAAAAATAACATTATGATAAGACAAATGATACTACTACAGATATTTTTCAAATGATGAATCATATACAAAGAAATACTCTAGTTGGCATGGAAAAGTATGTAAATCAAAAGAAGGGAGCATGCAGCCTGAAAATGAAGGTCTCACCTGACGGTAAGGGGAGGAGAGACTGAGAGTACGGCTTTGGCCTCAGGAAGCGCTTTGCTGCTCTCTGGGACAGTCATAAAAAGGCTCGAGCTTTTGATTTGGCACCCAAACTTAACATCTTTAATCCTAAGAAATAATCCGCGCTACTGTGCAGCATTACTTAAAATGCTGGAAAGCTGGATACCACATGATCATGAACAGAGACTTACGTGCATGTTTACCAGACCGGATAACTGGCCAGTTATCATTACATAACAGCCCCAAAGACTGGTAACAACAGGCAAAAACACACTTGGTTATTTCACTATCAGACATGCATTACGATGAACGGTGCTTACATCAAGATCAAGAGTGTGTATCAAGACAGTAACTGCTGTGGCTGGGGAGAGTCTCTGATGACATCTTTGTTACTAGCACTTGCTGTTTTATTGCTTTTATAATAGAAATATTAGACTGAAAAAACCCCCTATATTCTGCATAAGCTGATGGAGCACGCTGCAAAGACATGGTCCCGTTGGGGAAGAAGCCAGTGGATCTGAAAGCGAGGACAGTGCAACTAGAAGGAAATCTGCACCCATCCTCCTTTGTGAGCGACCGTCTGTTCTAAGCTTCCATGGCTTATCTTCTTCCCTCTGTTGTTTTTTTGTGGGGTCATGGAAACTGGTGTCTTAGAATGGTCCAAGCCTCAGAGATCATTTTATGCCAAATTTGTACTTATTCTACAATTTCTTACTAGTAACTGTCCACTCTCATTGACTGAGGACTCCATGAAGGATGGTGAATGTTCACCACCATACAAATGGGCTGTTCAGTGTGTGTCTTCTAAGTACTGTCTCGGGCTTTTATACACGACTGGACCTCTGAACTTCACAATAGCTGGACTTCCCTGTCAATCACTTCATTCTAAATGAGATTTGAAGCCACAGACCACAAAACAAGGGCCCAGAGTGAGACTATCTATTCATTTTAGCTTAGGAAATTATTAAGTTCAAAACAGAAGAACATTCCTATTCAGTTAAGATATATTTCAAAACTGAAACAAACACAGTTATTCTGATCAAGAAGAACAGTAAAGACCTTGGGTTGCCATTAAAATGTGGATAGAGTCTCGCTAGAGCTCACCTTCCTTTTAGTAGAGCTTTCTGCTTGTTGATAACTTCCCCAGAAGTGGAAGCCCAAAATGCTGGTCAAAGGCGGCTGTGCAGCTACAGAGCTGTACAGTTACCATCTCACCAAGCCCCATAACACTTCCTGTTATTTCACGAGAAGTGTGTTAAGTTCTTTCTGAAGCAGAAACACTACACTAAAAATGAAGAATGGGCACATGTCTTATTCTTCCTCAGGAGGCAGAGGCAGAGGCAGATGGATCTTTGTGAGCTTGAAGCCAGCCTGCTCCAAATAGCAAGTTCCAGACCAATGAGGGCTGCACAATTAGACCACCTTTCAACAATAACAATCTCCACACATTATATATATATATATATATATATATATATATATATATATATATATATATATAGAGAGAGAGAGAGAGAGAGAGAGAGAGAGAGAGAATTCTGACCTAGAACTTAGGCCTTTACCTGTGAGATGCCTCATTGGTAACCTGAGTTCCGTATCAGAACCAACATGGTGGTAGGAGAGAACCAACTATGAAACTTGTCCTCTGACCTCCACATGTGTCTTGTGGCATGCACATGGCCCCTCCCACACCAACAATAAAAAAATGTAATTAAAAACTGTGAATGTTGCTTCACTCCACCCATATTATAAATAATAGTTTGTAAAGCAAATAGAAGAAATCAGAAGAGTGTCTAGAGATGATAGGGCAGGCTACACTATAGAAACAGGCCTGAGCATGGCTCAGCTGACCTTCTGGGATGCCCATGGCAAATGAGAAGTCAGAATCTGGGTGAAATCATTATCTCAGGAAGTGAGGGGCAGGAGTAGAGGGCAGAAGCAGCCAGCAGACAGGTACAAGGGGGCAGAATAATATATAATTCTCCCAACGGTGGGATTTAAAAGTTAGTATTCTTCAAAGCATATAGCTAGGCTATATTTGCTCACAGGTTGTGGAGCAGAATGACACCCAGGTCTTAATTATTCCTGACTATTCCCTAGAAGTGGCTAAGGGCTTCACTGGTCAGAACTGAAGAGATTAGAACCTTCTATAGCTCCCTCGAAAGACTAGAAGACACTCAGTGCTGGCTCTGGAGCCCACTGAGAAGATCAGTGTGCATGACTGACTGTTCAGTGGTGACAGACAGAAGATCCAGGGGTAAAAGAGGTACAGGCCCAGGAGGCCCTAGGTCTGGACTTTTATTTCCATTTCCCGCCCAACAGCAGGGAGGTCTCTGCTTAGGTTCTTTTTCTAATCTAGGCAGCTGCATGAACTGAGAGGCTCAAGACCCAAACGCAGGTTTGGTACAAGCAGCATTTTCCCCTGTGTCACATAAGGAACTTCCCCGCCCCTAACCCTCTCACGAAGCCCTCTAAGACTTTCCATCACTGCTCATATGTGCACACTGCCAGTGGCTTTCATGTTAACAAGGCTCCACTGAGGAGGATCAACACTTTCTTGAAACACAGTAACGTCCCCTGAGCTGTCAGACATCCTACCAGACCATGGACAACTCTTGCCTTTCTAATTATTAATAGCTGCCTTGGATCCTGCACCTAACAACACAGCAGCAGGGCCCAGGCTGGGTGATCGCTCACAGTTGCCCTGCAAATCACAACCCTGCCACACGCAATCACCAAGTTCAGCACACTAACAGTACTAAGCCGGCCAATGTAAACCTCCTGGATTTGGTTTAGTCTCTGGTGCCAAGTAATACACAGCTGACGAAGCCCACTCACAGATGCTCTGTGATCGTCTGGCTATTCCTTGCCTCTCCATTTATTCCCTTCTCCAGCCAGCACTCAGAAGACCCTGTCCATGCCAATGTGGAAATAGGAAAACTGCTTACAGTTATGAGCAAGGAGCTGCCGCGGCAAAACAGTCTCTCGATTGCTGTCTCATCAAATTGTGACAGTAGTTTAGTATGGCTGTGACCTTGCTTCCTTCTACGTTGGGAGACAAAGGGATGGGAGCAGAGGGACAAAGGGCAAAATACAAGAAGGTCTAGAGTTTGTAGACCCTGTGGGAAGTGCTGCCAGGTGGAGCTTCCCAAAGTTTCATGTGGTGATAGAGAACTGCTCAGGCCTTAACCAGAGATCTGCACTGGAAACGGTGTGCACGTGTGATTTAGGATACACCAACGCTGAGCTGAGGACGATGGAGAGCCTAACTCATTTCTCAGATAGTGAGACAAAAATACTTTCTGTCTCTCATGCTTGCTTATCCTATGTCTTATTACTGGGCTTCAAAAGTAAAGAAAATGCTGCAGGTTGAAAAGAAAGCAAAAGAAGAAAAATATTTAGTCACTGGGAGAGTTAACTATTCATGGATACCATGATGGGTGAGGTACTGAGTGCACAAGACTGGCAGCTTCCAGTCACTGAGAGGCAGGCAGCTGTAGTAAAACAATGGAGCTGGTAGTTCCAAATGATGGCTCCTTTTGGCAAACTCTCAGAGAATCTGACGCAGCATCTTCTTGGTAGACAGTGGTCTTCCGTACCCTCTGCTCTGCCAACTTTTGGTTCTCTCCCTAAGTACTTCTGGATCCTATCCTCAGCATATCTGACTTTGTCTACCCAGGACAAGGGACTGGTAGTTTGTTGTTGTTGTTATATTTAGGCTCTCTAGGCAACTCCCAGGATGAACTGGGTCTGGAACACTGCCTCAGGGGACCCACGTTAGGAGACTGCCATGGTGCTAAGGATGCCCAAGCCCTCTGTAGGAGGCCTGGTATATCCTATTTACAGTTGGCCTAGAGGCCACTGGGGACCCATCCGTGTGACACTAGACATGCCTGTTCTTCTCCTGTAGCTCTTTTTGATGCTGGCAGACACTAGGTCTCTGCTGTTATACCCTCTGCTGAGATGTCTCGAATGTTGCTATTTCCCTTTCCATGCTGCTGAGCACAATCATGCAGGATGAATATCTAGTGTTACACGAGGGAGCCTGCTCCTTCTCCCAGTTTCAAGCCGTGCACTTAGGGACAGTGATAGCCAAGTGGACTATCAAAATAGATAAGCCACAAACCATATCCACAGCAGGGTAGCACACACACCCACTGGCAGCTTAGAGTGTCGCAGAGCTGTAAGCTTTTGGCAGAAGTGAATTGGCTTTGTGAGAATCTAACTTTCACTCCACGTTTTCAGCTCGTGATTTAATTTCTAAGTAACAAATTGTGGAAATTCAGTACATTTTTGCTTGTAGAAAAATATCCACAGAAGATTTAAATTTTTCCTTAAAACAAACCTTTTCTTTCTCTTTTTCCCTTCCTTCCTTCCTTCCTTCCTTCCTTCCTTCCTTCCTTCCTTCCTTCCTTCCTTCCTT